CATGGCAGGTAAAAATATTGCCATCTCAAAGGGTTTGACTGTTTCTGATATTGCAATAAATCTTTTAAAAAACTTTCTTTTCCACCCCCTCTGTTCAGGTAATATTTGGTGACATGGGTGACTATAGTTTTCACTCCCCCATTTTGTACTTTAAATACACTTTAACACGGATTGAATAAAGCCGTACATTTCACTATATTAAACTGACAGTTATTGTCTTTTGCATTTCTGCTGTTCTTAAAGTAGAACTATAGGCAAAACCTTTTTTTTTTTACATTTTGGATAGAGTAAGGGATGGTTATAACCCTATTCAGATTTTTCTTTGCCATCTGTATCCCTTTGGGGATATTTGCCTTAACGTCCTGTCCCATGGGCCAAAAGGGGAAATGACTGCAAATAAATGAATCCTTGGGGGCTCCCCAGTACTACATAGTTGAAGGTAAATCTAAAGGAAATTGGGCAGAAATTGGACAGAAAATTGTATAGTGTATGGCCAGCCTTAGGCTGGCCATAGACAGATCTAATTGATCGCAGCTGCTGATTGATGAAAGTGTTCCAAAATGTCCCTTCAACAGAAGTCAATCAAATGACCTACTGAATGAGATGAATTTTGATCAATGTGTGTCCATGCCTGCAATGCAGAGGTCGATTGTTTGATTTGCTGCTGCTGTTGCCCCATTGTATGTGTGTGTGTGTGGGGGGGGGGGGGGGGGTTGGAGGGGTGAGGGGGAAATTCCTCTACTCCATTTTTCATACTCCAAATGCTTTTTGCATCACTTTCATGCTGACCCCCTCGCTTCTCTATGCTTTGAGTCACAGACTTAGAACAAGTACATCAATAAGGAATCCTGACTTTCCTCATCTGCATACTTGTCCTGGGTCAATATTGAAGTCAGAGGGTGAGAACGATAGCCTGGCAACTGGCATTTTCAGAAGGCAGTCAGCAATGGCAGTTTCCTTGTTGTTCTTACAAAAGGTTTACTATAAGACTTTATTTTATGACACTTTACTTTAAGACACATCTGCAATGGTGTTGTAGAAGTGTAAATTCTGGTCTGCCTTCTCCACCCCTAGATGCTCAAATCTCACAGAGTTACAAGATACAAGGGGAGCAGCTTCCGTTCTGAAGTTTTGTGGATAGCTGATCTGCCTACCATGTTTAGAGATCAGATCCATGTCAGGGAAATGTATGCAAACAGATGCTTGTTCAACATTTAGCTGGCCTGCTGCTAGACTTCTCGGAAAAGAGACATTTTTATTGCTTGCTATGCTGTTATAGGAGTTTTGTTTGATCTTCTTGCTGGTGAGATGATTTTATTTTTCTGCATATTATTGTCTTGGATAAGTAGCAGACTTCTGTGTAATGTTGCCATGTTTAATGTCAATACATTGTACTTTGAAAGTTCCAAACCTGCTTCGGATTTTGCCTGGGCTTGCCCAAATGTGTCTTTTTTTTATGGTATCCTATTCTATTTCTTTTTTAAGTAATGGTCCCATAACTATGCACAAAACAATGAAGTGTTCTCTTCTAGCTCTTAGTTATAGATTTTTTTTTAAAATATTTATATTTTTCTCTTTCCACTGATTTCAATGTATGATACAACTGTTTAAAAAAAAAAAAACCTGAGAATTTCAGCATTCTACTTCAATCATGCAGTATCCCTAAAATCTTACTGTGTATGCACATGTTTGGTCAATTTCAAAATGCTGGTTAATAACAAGCAGATGGATAAATTGAAAAATGTCTGAGCATTTTCATTGGGGTTGTTATCAAATAATTTTATTCAATTACATCTGATTGCAGCATGCATGAAAATTGAATTCTGCCTTATTTAAAACAACCATAGTTTCATTCATGACTATGTTTGTAGTTTTGGATGATTCTGAAAACAATGTGTTGGCTTTCTGATGGAAAAACTTGTGAATACATAAAAATGGCAGTGAAATCTAAAGGCAAAATTGAGGCAAAATTGATGTGCGCCTGGCATCATTGTCATTTAAGTCCAGTTTTACAGTTTCTCATTAAAGTGTTATAAATGTTAGTATTTTGGTTACATATATTTATTATATATATATATATGTATTGTATGATTATGTATCTTCTTTTTTTTTTTATATTGTCCAAATGCAGATTTTGTAACAAAGTAGAAGTACATATTCGTGGTTGTGCTATTGCTAGGTTGAGAAGTTGAGTTTGATTCTGACCAGTATACTATGGGGTAGGTTTACTAAGGCTCCATGCACACGGGGCGCTTTATTAACGCTGGTAACAGCTGTGTAAAGTCACGTTAAGAATGTGTTTTTCAGCGTTTAGCATTTTTGTATTAGCGTTTAGCTGCTTTTTTGCGTTTGCGTTTCTTAGAGTTTTTTTTGTCCTAAAAAAAATTTTTTTTGATCAAAAAAAGTCCAAAAATGCTGGTTTGCCACAATTTACCTCATTTTACAGCGTTTTGCCACATTTTTCAGCGTTAGAGCTTGTTCACACTTGACTGTTTTACCAACGCTTGCCAAACGCCCCTATAGCATTTGGCAAGCGTTGGTCCAGCGTTTGCGGAGCGGTTTTTAACGCTCGGCAAACGCTCCGCATGCACAGTTTAGCGGAAGTTACTAGGCGTTTGCCGAGTGTTAAAAACGCCCCACAACGCCTATAATGAAGTTTAAATGGTGTTACCGCTCCGCAAACTCCCCGCAACCGTGCCGCAAACGCCAGCTGGGCGTTTGTGGAGCGGCACCATAGGCTAGAATAGGGGGCTTCAACGCCTCCTGACTCGACCAGAGGTGTCCGTTATGCTGCGACGCGACGCTAACGCTCCCGTTAGAACAGCACCATGTGCTGCAATGTGCAGAATTGTCCGAGGCATTTGGGAAGTGGTAAAAACGCTTCCCAAACGCCTCTCTGCCGCCTGCACACAACGTTAGTGTGAACGTAGCCTTAGAGTGTTTTTACAGCTAAAAAACTTCTCTAGAAACCCATTAGTTCTGGGGGGTTTTTTCCAGCCAAAAAACGGCCCTACCAAAAAACCGCTGATTACAGTCTATGTGTGCATGGACATGTAGGATAACATGCTGGGAGTTCACTGTAGAAAAAATGTAAAAAAAAATGTCAAAAGCCAACAACGGCAGCTGCAGCTGTACAACAACGGCAGCTGTAAAAACGTCCCGTGTGCATGAGGACTAAAAGTTGAGCACTCAGAATCTGGTGCAGCTGTGCATGAGAGCCAATCAGCTTCTAACTTCAGCTTAGCTTTGGCAAAGCTTTGGCAAAAAAAACCCCGGAAGCTGATTGGTTTCTGTGGAGAAGTGAGCCTAATTGTGCGCACTCCAGTTTTAGTAAATAAACCCCTATATGTATGGCACTTATTTACTGTCTTTGTTTTTGTGAAGACCATTTCCTGGAACTTTGCATATAACAGCCCAAAAATGAAAGTAGATGTAAAACCCAATGATCGTCTACATGCACACCAGCGATGGCTGCATGGCATGGTGACAACCATGGAACATGTCTGTGCAATGTGCTTCAGCACATCCCCTTGTAGTTTCTATGGGAAAACATGAGACAGGGTGACAACACAGGAGAACAATAGGGAGACAAGGAAAAAATGTTGTCAACCTATAACAGGAACCTCCTTCATGGCAGAATTGCCCGTTATTATTTAATAAAAGAGCCAGATTAAAAAATCTTGACTTACTTTTCAAACTAAAATAATCTATTAAAGTGTATCCGGTCAACATGTAAAATTGTATATTTATAGTATATTCATTTCACATTGGTTTTCAATCATTTCTAGCATTCTCCTATTAATCTAAATCTTGACCTTTGGAAACCTACTTTGTGAAGATCTCCACACATATACTGTATGCTTCCTTGAATTTTGTGGCTATTCACAAGTATTCACTATGTTCTGTGTGTAGGCACTGCTGTGCCACACACATTTCACAGAGCCTACCTCAGAGGAGACAGTACAAGAATCACTGCTTGCAAGCAAAAAGGTACCACAGGATTAGAAATGAAACGTAAACCACAGAGGAGAAGCTGCAGCGCATGCAGGGAATCCAGGAAGTTGTGAAAAGAAATGGCCAGCAGACAGGCACATAAAACAACAAAAAATAAAATGAAAAAACAAATTGAGCTCAGTGCAAACTTGATTGTGTACAGGAAAGCGGCACTCAATCATCTGAACACTAGATAAAAAAAATTGTGTAAATTTGACTGCCAATTTTGCGTAAAATGAATGGGCTCAAATCACATTGCACTGAACCACATGTGAATCGCACAGGTACATGTAGCACGTTCCTATGCGGTTCCTAATATGAACCAGCCCTAATGAGTTTGTTGCAGTTGATGTATGTTAATCCTTTGTGAAATATTTACTCACTTTTTTATGGGTATTGCACTAATTCATTATTTGATCACACTGCACATGTGCAATTTATATTGATGTGAAAGTGTGTGTCAGAACCAGGGGCGGACTGACCATTTGGAAACTTGGGCACTGCCCGAGGGCCGGGGTCAGTAGGGGGCCCCATGAGATGCCCCTGGTACCTTTTTCATAGGTTTTTTTGAGTTTGGGCAAGGACACAGGGGCCCTATGATCCCCTATTGCCCGGGGGCCCCATGAGTTGTCAGTCCGCCCCTGGTCAGAACTCACAACCTGAAAGGAGATTTTTCAAGTATCCTTATATTGCATTGTCAAATATAAACTATGGCTTGTGTTATTACAAAGCTGATGTTATAAAATGAAAGTGTATGCTGTGATCATAGATCTCCTTTTAAATGTGAGATTTTGTGATTGGGTTTACATATACTTTATAGAGTTTCAGCATCTAAGTGTCTGACAGGAGAAATCTCTGTTACTTACAGAGAACAGCTACTTGTTATACTTCATGCCTGTGTGTTTGTTTATCTGTGTATAACATTACGGTTGCCTTTTATCTTTTCAGGTTTTAGATTTTAAGGCAGACACGCCACATCAGGCTAAGCCTAACTACAGAATGACAATATGGCCGCCAAGGTGCTTCCTCCTGGCCCTGACAGCCTGCGGCCATTTACAAAAGAAAGCCTTGCAAAGATAGAAAAACGAATTGAGGAGGAGAAGATACGCAAAGAGAAAAATATTGAGGTCCTTGAGGAGGACATAGTAAAACCCAACAATGGCCTGGAAGTTGGAAAGAGTCTACCACTTATTTATGGTGATCCACCACCAGAACTTATTGGAGTACCTCTGGAGGATCTTGATCCTTTCTACAATAATCAAAAGGTGATGCTTTTAAAGAGAAAATGTAATATTTTGTGTGTAATATTACTTATTCTATGGTTGATTTCCAAATTTTTGTACATGTATTTGCTTCTTACCCACTGATGTATTTAGGTTTTGCCCCACTCTGGTCTGAGTGCTGATATATGGGGGTTTACAGAAAGCTGTTTTTTTTTTTTAAACCCCTGACAGTTTGTTGCATCAATACATTAGGTGTTGATGCAGTGACCCCCCCCCCCTCCCCAGAAAACACTGGTCAGTGCTCACAGCCATTTGACGTGAGAGCTGATTGGATGCTGATTTTCCAGGATGCCCGTTCAACAGAAGACAAACTTGAGAATAGCTTCTATCGAACAGAGAACTGTACACACAGACTGACGTTCGGCCAATTCCTACTGCACTAGCTGATTGATTGATGTAATATAATTATACAGCTTACTAATCATTAGATGTGGTGACTGCATTAGTTTTTTTTTTTTAGGCCTTTTTCTCTCTCTTTTTCACCGGGTGATCTGACCACTAACATACCTCCTGTATTAGAGTATCCCCACTCTGGATGAAGTAGCACAGGAGGGCAGCAGGATTGTCAGTCTGGGGGAGCGAAGTGATGTACTAGCAGATTTAGATGCATTGACAAATTGAAGCCAAACTCAGCTAACACTTTATAAGGAGTTACACAAACAGTTTGCTTTTTCCTTTTGGGATAAAGGTTTTACATAAATAAAAGCTGATTATTGTAAGCACCCGTGCCAGTGCTGAATGGTTTGTCTCATCCCTTTTAACTGATACATCTGAGAGAGCATATTCCTTTGAAAAACAACTGACTTACTGGCCAGATCAGCAGGTGAAAATAAAAGAAATAAAGCCTATAAAAGAAAACTAATGCAGCCCCCACATCTAAGAATTGGTAAGCTGTAATATAATACATTGCTTTCGGGATTATTACAACTTTAAGACTGATATTAAGACTGTGTAGCATATTTACAGTGATAAGCTTGTGATTGGCTATCACAGCGATCAATAACTGTACAGTCTTCCCCTGTACTCTTCCTCCTCTTGAATTGAGAAAAAGATACATGGTATCTTTTCTCCTTGCCAGAGGAGAAAAATGTGAGCAAAAAATGTATTAAAAAAATACCAGTATAGGATTTGTAGCTGGCTTTTACATTTTTTGGGGGGGAGGGGGGCCCGGGTTAAGTACTTTTCGTTACTAAACCCACAACAGTACAATCAGTCTGTATATGCAGTAAAGCATGCTTGTTATACTCCCTGTGGAGCCTAAGGGGTTAATCCTCTGTATTGTGTAAAAAGGATGTCTGAGCCTCTTTTCTGATCCTCCCTTCTTCCAGTGTCTCCCAAATATCTCCTGATAGAAAAGAGGCTAGGGACAAGCTGAACATGCTCAGTTTGGTGTGTATTGCTAGAGAGGTTTTTTTTGTTCTTGGGAGAGTGCATGTGATCAGCACAGGGCCAATCAGCACTGTCCAGACAGAGGTCAGAGGTCCTGTATCCTGCTACAGGAGAATGAAAACTCCTCCTACAAGCTCTAACCACTGTTCTGCTGGACACTGATAGAAGTCACAAGACTGCTATATATTGCTAATGAGAAAAGGTATTTAGTAGTTTATATTTACTAAAATAATTGTATTTCCATGTTCTGTGTACTGTGGGAGACCAGATATAGTGAATGCAGGGTCCTGGTAGACCAGATATAGTGAATGCAGGGTTCGGGGAGACCAGATATAGGGAATGCAGGGTCGGGGAGACCAGATATAGTGAATGCGGGGGTCCTGGGAGACCAGATATAGTGAATGCAGGGTCCGGGGAGACCAGATATAGTGAATGCGGGGTCCTGGGAGACCAGATATAGTGAATGCGGGGTCCGGGGAGACCAGATATAGGAGTGAGTACGGGGTCCGGGGAGACCAGGTATAGTGAATGCGGGGTCCGGGGAGACCAGGTATAGTGAATGCAGAGTCCGAGGAGACCAGATATAGTGAGTGCAGGGTCGGGGTCCGGGGAGACCAGATATAATGAATGCAGGGTCCGGGGAGACCAGATATAGTGAATGCAGGGTCCGGGGAGACCAGATATAGTGAATGCAGGGTCCGGGGAGACCAGATATAGTGAATGCAGGGTCCGGGGGAGACCAGATATAGTGAATGCAAGGTCCTGGGAGACCAGATATAGTGAATGCAGGGTCCGGGGAGACCAGATATAGTGAATGCAGGGTCCGGGGAGACCAGATATAGTGAATGCAGGGTCCGGGGAGACCAGATATAGTGAATGCAGGGTCCGGGGAGACCAGATATAGTGAATGCAAGCCGGATCCGGGAGACCAGATATAGTGAATGCAGGGTCCCAGGGTGAGACCAGATATAGTGTGAATGCAGGGTCCGGGGAGACCAGATATAGTGAATGCAGGGTCCGGGGAGACCAGATATAGTGAATGCAGGGTCCGAGGAGACCAGATATAGTGAATGCAGGGTCCGGGGAGACCAGATATAGTGAATGCAGGGTCCTGGGAGACCGGAATGCAGAGACCAGATATAGTGAATGCCGGTGTCCAGGGAGAGACCAGATATAGTGAATGCCGGGTCCGGGGAGACCAGATATAGTGAATGCCGGGTCCCGGGAGACCAGATATAGTGAATGCCGGGTCCGGGGAGACCAGATATAGTGAATGCAGGGTCCGGGAGACCAGATATAGTGAATGCAGGGTCCGGGGAGACTAGATATAGTGAATGCAGGGTCCGGGTTTAGTATCACTTTTAAGTGCATTGACCTTTTTTTAATTTTAGTTTAAGATGCAAATAATTGGCTGCTTACACATACCTCAGAGAAGGTAATAATAATTTATTAAAGTTGGCAACTTAGTTCAGTAGGAATTACTGTATACACAATGTATAAAAACAGGAAAAACAAAGTTGCATAGTTTCTTATAAGGTTACGGTAATGAGAACTAGTGGCGCTGCTTGGCCGCAAGCCTTTCATTTTTATCAGTGAATACTAGGCTTCTTCTGATTGGCCATGATAGAGAGGTGGCAGGTGACATCTTGATCTCCATTTCAGCCATTAAGATGAAGCCTTATATTAATTGGTAATAATATGGGGCTTGCTGTGAATGACTGAAAAGCACTCAGCCCAACTCAAGTTTGTCCCAGGGATGGGATGAGAAGTCCCTGTACTGCCAGAACACAGCATCTGTATACTGTATAGATGATTATTATTATACAGGATTTATATAGCGCCAACAGTTTGCGCAGCACTTTACAATATAAGGGAGACAGTACAATTACAATACATGTCAGTACAGAAGGAATAGGAGGGCCCGGCTCGTGGAGCTTACAAGCTAAAGGAAGGTGAGGTGGTACAAAAGGTGATAGTTGCGCGGGATGATCTGATGGAGGTGGCTCAAGTACAGTTCTTAGGTGGAGGTGGGGTAGCCTTCTTTGAATAAGTGAGTATTCAAAGATTGTCTAAAGGCAGAGAGGGTGGGGGCTGACTGGACTTACTGTGGTAGGGAGATCCAGAGGATGGTAGAGGCTCTGGAGAAGTCCTGGAGGTGATGAGGGAGCTAGAGAGCAAGAAGTCTTTGGGAGTAGAGGAGCAGGTGATTTGGACGATATCTGCAGATGAGGTTAGTGATGTTCATAGAAAAATGTAAATATCGTCTGGCTGAAAAAAGACAAAAGCCCATCCAGTTCAACCATTAAAAAGAAACAAGTTATAATCCTCTACCCACAGTTGATCCAGAGGAAGGCAAAAAAAAAAAACAGAAAAGCATGATCCAATTTGCTCCTGCAGGGAAAAAAAATTCCTTCCTGATCCCCCGAGAGGCAATCGGATATTCTCTGGATCAACCTTACCTATAAATGTTATATCCAGTTATATTCTGTGTATCCAGGAAAGAATCCAGGCCTTTTTTTTAAAGCAATCAACTGAGCTGGTCAGAACCATGTAGCCAGGGGCAGTGTTGTGGATGGCTTTGTATGTTGTGGTTAGTATTTGGAATTTTATACGTTGGGTTAGTGGAAGCCAGAGAAGGGATTGGCAGAGAAGCGCAGCAGTTGCTGATTGGTTGGTAATGTGTATCAGTCTAGTAGCAGCATTCATAATAGACTGAAGGGGGGACAACCTGTGCAAAGGTAGACCAGTGAGGAGGGAGTTGCAGTAATCAAGGTGAGATATAAACAAGGCGTGGATATGTTGTTTTGTGGTGTCATTGGTCAGAAAGGGGCAGATTTTGTAAATGTTGCAGAGGCTGAGGTGGCTATGTAATGTTTATAAAGAACTGACATCACCTGCATGTATTAGTAATGGAAATAGATTGTTTGCACCATCTTGGCCCAAAAAAACTATTTAAAGTGATAGCAAAACTGGAGTTAGGCTTTAAGGAGTCTTTAAACACACAGACTTTATGAGCGTGAAGCAGAACAAAGCTCCTTGTCTACATACTATCTTCTTTGTGCCTCTACTTGTACCAATAAGCTTTGGTCTAGCAGTGAGCAGTTTGGACATAATACATTTATGAATTGTACCGGAACCGACCCAGACAATACTACCTTTAGAATACCGCTTCCCCGTACGAACACCGACCACAGACACCACAGCCGACCAAACAAGACTAGACGACCAATCATGAAGTAACCCAGAAAGTAGACTACTTTATTTGAACACAGCTACAAGATATATACACTCAGGGGGGCAATCCCCCCTCCCTGCATAATGACACAGGGCGGGACAACCTACATTTAGTAATAAGAGACACACAGGTATTCAAACTTCACACCAGCAGACAGTTCCATTAGGAGGGAGGGATGTTGGAGATACCCCCCCCCCCCTAAGCTAATACACATAAACACATACATCCCATAATAGAGTGCTCCCAAACCTGACAAACAATAGAACAATGGGATGCAACCACATAACAAAGCCCACACATTATTAGGACAGATCACCCTGTACCCCTAACAGGCACAGGGTGACTTAAACATAAGAGGGAGATGGGGAGCTGAGACTGGTCTCCCCACCTCTCCAAAGTGAGCTGGGTTCCATGGGCCCCCCACTCAAAGTGACTTCCGTCACATGTATCATACCTGTTCTCACTGCTTTTTTTTCATCTAAGGTTAGAAATATGGGAACTGTGATTGAAAATCATTCCTATTTTGAATTTACTACCTTCTGAGTATCTGACTAGAAATACGCACTGAATGCTGAAAAATGTGTGCACCTGCCTAGCATGCAGGTTGAGTTCAGTGACTTGCTAGGTGATTAATATAGATCAGGTTGATAGTCCTGGAGCCTTCAGGTTTTTTTTTTATTAAAGCAAGTTGGCATTAAATTTCAGTGCTAACAGGTTAACTTTTTGTGTTTTTTTTGTTTGTTTGTTTGTTTTTTAATTACTATACACCACTGCTACAGTTCTATTGAATAATCTGTGCAAGGAGCATGATTGTTTGCTATGGATACTGCCCTTTACCTCTTGCATTACTTTATTGAGTTTGTAGAGCAGTTTTCTGTACAGTCTTTTTATCTTTGTAATCTCATGCCAGCAGGTTACTGTATTATCTCTTTCCACAGACTTTCATTGTCCTGAATAAAGGGAAAGCAATATTTCGCTTCACTGCTACCAATGCTTTATATTTACTGGACCCTTTTAATCCTTTCAGAACTGGAGCAATAAAAGTCCTCATCCATGCATATCCTTTCATACAAAAAAATTCTGTCTTTTCTTTCAAGGTATTTTGTTGTGATTTATCTTTTTTTAGGCATTACAGTAGTCAGCCTATGTAAATTATTTTGATTCAGATGATACAAAAACAAAAAAAAGAAATAAAAAAAAAATCACCCTTTGATACATCTAAACAAGTTACTCCCCCCATCTCACTTGTATGAGATAGTGAGATGGGAATATGGCAATCACTTGCTCCAACAATGACTTCCACTAGCTAGAATCATGGGTATTGTTCTCTTTTGGAGGTGCACTTCAGGTGTCTTGTGGATCTACAGTCTTTTGGCACAGGAAAAACAATATTTTTTGATTTTGCATCCATATAACACTGTGGTATTGTGTAGCAGTAATGACTAATTATTACTATGCGTTACCTCTTTGTATTCTGTGCCTTTTTATATAAAGAAAACCACCTCTGACTTGTTCTACTGATAGCCATCAATTGGGATGAGCTCACATTCAACTCAAATCTAGCCTATTCATGGTTTGGCGAAGGACTTAGCAAACTGGCCATATTTGGTGAGTTTGCCCACTTGAACCCCCGGCTGCTGGAATGTAAACAAAGCAGAAGGGGATCGCAGGCATATGTTATGCTCCAGGGATTCTGTATGTTAGCGATGGGGTTGTGGTGGGGCAACATCTTTGGGCAATGGCTCATCATGATTGCCACTGGATTTACAAATTGGACAACCTGATTGATGATGCATTTACGTCAGGGGGAAAAGGCTTTGTCACCCCCCTTTTAATGTTAAAAGGCATGTAGCCTGATATCGTACAGGTAGACTGAACCACATGCTCGCCACTTTCCCTTTCCTAGTCACCAAGGCTGCATGCCTGGATAAAGAGCTGGTTTGAATATTAAGGGGAACTTTTGTTTACTTTTCTTTAGGTGTCATTTTAATGTAGGGTTGCACCAATACCAGTTTTTTTTACCGGTAAATACGAGTACCCATTCTTTGGGTCAAGTACTCGTCGATACCGAGTACCGATACCTTTTGATGCAATTTGAGCCCATACAAAATGAATGGCTCAAGTCGCACTGCAAATCGTACTGCACCTGGAGGAAAACCATATGTGATTTGGACAATAACGCATTCCTGTTCAAATCACAGGCAAAAAGGAACAGAGCGCACAGGATCCTAGAGCAGCCAGAACCTTTATTAAATAAGTAGAACACAAGTAAAGTTGCACTCACAGTTGTAGGTGTATATAAGGCAGATCATCCCATGTGTTGACATCGCGCTGTGAAAGTCCCACGCTATTCTCCTCGCTGCCTGGATGACAGTTTGGCTGCCCGCTCCATATAGGGCTGAAACATTGACCCAGTGTGCCTCCACACACATAAAGACTCCCACAAGCTGTCAGATAATAGACCAGTGTAATCATTGACATCCTCTGCTGTTTTCCCCATCCACGTGGTGTCACACACACTAACAGCCGCAGACCAGTCAGTAGCGCATCTCCATACCACTGAGGGCTTGGAGTCTGATATAGAGACATAAAGCGAGCGGGCCGCACTGTCAACCTTCTTGCTGATGAACAGTATATTTTTTGTATTCTTTTTGCATTGGTTTGTGTCCCCCCATGGTAGTGCCAAGTCAACCATGGTTTTAGCTTGCAAATTATTCTTGAAAAAGGCCAAAAAAAAATTACAAGCTTCACCTCCCATAGCTTTGCCTCCCATATGTTTCATGGACTTTCTGCTGGGTTTGTCAAATATCCAACAAACTGAACTTTGCCCAGTTTTTTCATCCCTTGTCATCAACAAAGCCATACAGAAATCTGTAGCATATTTTATACATTTTTTGAAGAAGCATTTGACTTAAAAAATTATGGTTTTATTTGTTGAGTATTGTATTAATTTGTTTCTGTCACATTCTTTCCTTAACCCCTCTGTACAATATTTAGCTTTTTTATTATGATAACCATCTTAACGAATTGTGTTTTTATGACCATGAGTGACCCACCACCTTGGTCCAAGAATGTTGAGTGAGTAGAATACATACACATAATGTGTGTTTGCATGCTTATATACCTTTTTTATTTATGTTATTACTTTTCACCTAGTCCTAAACAGATCTTGCCGTTTGATTCATAGAATCAGTGTTACTGTACATTTGAATGAAAATAGTATTTGCTGTTATTCATACTATATGATATCCAATACAACATTGTTCCAGCAAAATAATTATTATTTTATTACATATATTTTGTAATATCTTTAGGTGTATAGTACTAATTATCACTGTTTTACTATAAACCAGCAATGCTATCTTTTAAGTCTTTTTTTGACTGTTATTAAAATTGTTTCTAGTGGAATTCATAAATATCTTTGATACAAATACAAGAACTTAAGTGGTACTTTTTTTGAAAGTGTGTCTGCTGTACAACCAAATCTTTTTTTTTTTTTTGTTTTTTTTTTTGTTTTGGATAGAGCAATGAGACTTTAAAAAATTCTGTCAGGTTTGTTTTCATTGTTGTCTGTGTCTTCATTGGGAATATACACCCTCTATTTGTCTTGGTGACCACTGTCATTGGAACTTAAAGTGAGGGAAAATCAAAAAAATTGGAGTTGTCACCAAAAACTAGAAGGGAAATCTTTCCATGGGGATACCTGTTCTGGTGACAAAAGTCTTTGGCTAAAGTCAAAGGCAGGGTCACAATGGAGGACACAGCAGGGGATAGTGAAACATTTGCTTACATGTGTTGCTGCCTTGTCTCTTCTTCACTTACATTCTGTAACATTTTTTGTGAGTGAGTTAGTGAAGCTTTGCTGTTCCAGCTGACAAGGGGGCAACATATACAAGTATGTGAGTGTTCTCCTTTCTCCTATCCCCTTTAGGGTTCAAGAGTGCATTTTCCTCACCTAGAAAAAAAACGTCTTGATACAGCAAAACAAAAAAACTGACAGTAAACTCAACTGTAAATACCCAATATATATGTATATGTATATATGTATATGTATATATATATATATATGCACACACATATATTTATTGTGTGTGTGTATATATATATATAAATATATAATATATATTTCAGGTACTTATATAGCGCCGTCCATTCACACAGCGCTTTACACACATATATATATTGTACATTCACATCAGTCACTGACCCTCAAGGGGCGTACAATCTAAAAGCTGGTCCCTAACTTACATTCATATATACACATACTAGGGCCAATTTAGACAGGAGCCAATTAACCTACCAGCATGTCTTTGGAGTGTGGGAGGAAACCGGAGTACCCGAGGAAACCCACGCAGGCACAGGGATAACATGCAAACTCCATACATGTGGTGCCGTGGCTGGGATTCGAACCAACGACCCGAGTACTTCCAGGCGGAAGTGCTAACCATTTTGCCACTGTGCTGCCCCATGTGTGTATGTATATAAAATCTATCTTTATGCATACATCTTTTATCTTTGAGGATGATGTCTACCATATTTTGTAGTAGTTATTAATATTGCATAGTTAAATAGTATGATTAATAAAACACCTCTAGTTCAAAATAGAAGAAAGAAAAAAAAAACACACACGAATAGAAAAGCTCCATATACACAATCCTATACCCACAGTTGTTCTAGAGGAAGGCAAAGCAAATCCAATAAAGCAGAATTCAGTTTGCTCCAGCATGGGGTGGTGGGGGTTGTTGATCCCTGGATCTCAACTACCCCTGGTGTTAATACCTATAAATATTATAATAAACCTAGAATAATACGTTTTGTTACTCCGTTTCTGTTTGGTTTCCTCCCAGGGATAATGTGATAACAAATGCATAGTGTTTTTCTTTTTTTATTATTATCTTTCTGTGTTTTTTTTTGTAGTTATCTTTCTCTTTAATCCTCTTTTGTCCCTGCCTTTGTCCTACATCTGATTTCAGGTACACGTTTACGGGCATTTATACTTTTGAGTCCTTAGTAAAGATTTTTGCTCGAGGCTTTTGTATCGATAGTTTTACATTCCTCAGGGACCCATGGAACTGGCTGGATTTCTGTGTCATTGTCATGGCGTAAGTGGAAGGTAGACACTTTTGTGGTTACTAACTTCCTTGCTTGGGATTTAACGTTTGAAATGTGTGCTTGTACTGATCTAACAATGGATACATATTTTTGCCTCTGATATTTATTTTGTTAACATGCTTGTACTGAACATGTTTTTGTTACATCCCGGTGCATCAAAACAACAGGTATAAAAGGTCTTAGTCCTCATGCACATGGGGCATTTTAATAACGCTGGTAACATTAGCTGTGTAAAATCACGTTTAAAAACGTGAGTTTTTCAGTGTTTTTTTAGTATTTTTGCAATAGCGTTTAGCGGCAATTTGCTAAGTTTTCGGTGGGTTTTTACAAAAAAAGTCCAAAAACGCGGGATTGCGGCGTTTTACCACGTTAGAGCATTTTTACAGCTAAAAAAACTCCTATAGAAACCCACTAGTCCTGGGTTTTTTTTCTAGCCAAAAAACGCCCCTGCCAAAACACATTGATTACAGTCAATGTGTGCATGGACACATAGGATAACATGCTGGGAGGTTTACTGGCTATATAAAAAAATGTAAAAAGCCAAAAACAGCCGCTGTAAAAACGTCCCGTGTGCATGAGGACTTATAGTTAATTTTCTTCAGCAGTCACAGCCAGAGTATAAAAGCCTGTTCCTTGCCAGCATGCTGCAGAGAAGGACTCTTTGCTTTTTGTGTGAAGCAGTGTTCTCTCTGGAAAGGTCTGACACAGCCCTTTCTGAGTTAGAGCTAAAGCTCTCCAATCAGCAGGGAGCATGAGCTTTGTTGATACTGAAGCTATTGGTTGGACTCTGCGGGGGGGGGGGGGGGGGTTGTTAGACCTCTGAAGAGAGAACATTGAAAAGATTGGTCTGTCTATGCACAACGTTTGATACACCTGGAATGTATTTGGCGCATTTAAACTAAAAATTCAGTTTGGATTTAAGGTGGCCATAGACATTCCCTTGCAGTTGTGAGTTAGGGCCACTGTATTTTGTCTTCATTTCTGTAGTAGGTCAACATCACTCCAACTTAAAATTGTCCAGTTCTTTATTGTAGCATCAAGCTTGTCTTATAAAGTTCTACTACCAGCAATGTTTCAGATCCATGTAGTAACTAGGACAACTCCATCAGTGATGGTGGGGGAGAACAATCATAGTGAGCAGAGAATGTTAAGCAACGTTGCCTATCACTGTATCTCATGAGAATATTCTTTGGATCCAGTTAATTTACAACAATCGTTTTATGTTTATGTCCACCTTAGCAGATAGACATAAGACTGTTCTGTTTATTGGAACGTTCAGTTAAGCATGGTTGGGGGATGAATTTTTAGCTACTTATGGGAGAGTACACGGAGTGAAGTAACGTCAGTGAAAATAATATAAAGGCTGGGAAGTTCAGCCAGCTGTCAGTGTGTAATAACATCAGAGCCTGCTGGGTTTAGTACATGCACTCTCCTCATCATTCACTATGACTAGATATCATGTCGCATGCATCATTTCTGGAATCTCTGTAGATTGCTTCCACTTCTAGAACGGCTTGTAGTTGGGTAGACTACAAATCAAGCCCTTAGTGCCTTGAAACAGTATTCATACCTCTTGAAATTTTCCATATTTTGTCATGTTACAACCAAAAACATAAATGTATTTTATTGGGATTTCATGTGATAGACCAACACAAAGTGGCACATAATTGTGAAGTGAAAGGAAAATGATAAATGGTTTTCAAAATTTTTTATAAATAATAATGTGAAAAGTGTGGAATGCATTTGTATTCAGCCCTCCTGAGTCAATACTTTGTAGAACCACTTTTTGCTGCAATTACAGCTGCAAGTCTTTTTGGGGATGTCTCTACCATCTTTGCACCTCTAGAGAGTGAAATTTTTGCCCATTCGTCTTTGCAAAATGGTTCAAGCTCTGTCAGATTGGATGGAGAACAGCAATTTTCAAGTCTTGCCACAAATTCTCAATTGGATTTAGGTCTGGACTTTGACTGGGCCATTCTAACACATGGATATGCTTTGAGCTAAACCATCCCATTGTAGCTCTGGCTGTATGCTTTGGGTCGTTGTCCTGCTGGAAGGTGAACCTCCACCCCAGTCTCAAGTCTTTTGCAGACTCTTAACAGATTTTCTTCTAAGATTGCTCTGTATTTCGCTCCATCCATCTTCCCATCAACTCTGACCAGCTTCCCTGTCCCTGCTGAAGAAAAGCATCCCCACAACATAATGCTGCCACCACCATGTTCCACGATGGGGATGATGTGTTCAGGGTGATGTGCAATGTTAGTTTTCCGCCACACATAGCGTTTTGCTTTTATGCCAAAAAGTTCAATTTTGGTCTCATCTGACCAGAGCTCTTTCTTCCATATGTTTCCTGTGTCACCCACATGGCTTCTTGCAAATTGCAAATGGGACTTCTTATGGTTTTCTTTCAACAATGGCTTTCTTCTTGCCACTCTTCCATAAAGGCCAGATTTGTGGAGTACACGACTAATAGTTGTCCTGTGGACAGATTCTCCCACCTGAGCTGTGGATCTCTGCAGCTCCTCCAGAGTTCCCATGGGCCTCTTGGCTGCTTCTCTGATTAATTCTCTCCTTGCCTGGCCTGTCACTTTAGGTGGACGGCCATGTCTTGGTAGGTTTGCAGTTGTACCATACTCATTCCATTTTCAGATGATGGATTGAACAGTGCTACGTGAGATGTTCAAAGCTTGGGATATTTTTTTATAACCTAACCCCGCTTTAAACTTCTCCACAACATTTTTCCCTGACCTGTCGAGTGTGTTCCTTGGCCTTCGTGATGCTGTTTTGTTCGCTAATGTTCTCCAACAAACCTCTGAGGGCTTCACAGAACAGCTGTATTTATACTGAGATTTAATTACACATAGGTGGACTAAATTTACTAATTAGGTGACTTCTGAAGGCAATTGTTTCCACTAGATTTTAGTTAGGGGTATCAGAGTAAAGGGAGCTGAATACAAAAGAAACACCACACTTTTTAGATGTTTATTTGTAAAAAAAATTTGAAAACCATTTATCATTTTCCTTCCACCTCACAATTATGTGTCACTTTGTGTTGGTCTATCACATAAAAGCCCAATAAAATACATTTATGTTTTTGGTTATAACATGACAAAATTTAGAAAATTTCAAGGGGTATGAATACTTTTTCAAGGCACTGTATACTCACTGAACAGTGAAACGTATAATTGCTTTTAGTCTCATTCTCAATTAACAGGTTGAATGAAATTGGGGCTTACCTTGGTTCTATTTTCATTGGAGTGTTTATTAATACAGCTAAGACAATCCATTAATGTAAACCTGTCAAGCAGAACATGTAAGTTAATGTCGTTCACCTCTTTCCCAAAAATGCAAACTGTCTGGCTTTTGATACTGATATTTTGACCTATAATATGTTTGTGTTTCTCACCTGGAGCAGATATAGAGACTGGAAATACTGACTTTTCTCTGGGTCTGGTATCATTGGTAAAAGCCATGTTTTTAGACAGCATTTCTGCAACCGGGTACCCATTTCCAGCAACAAATTTACCCAAGTGGGGGAAACCGCTCTCTTAATGGATTCACCCTTCATTGGCCTAGAATGCTGTAGAATCTTGCTTGCTAGTTAGGAAGCAACAAGGGGACAAGATCTTGCTGGTTAAGCAACTGAGGGAGCTACTCCATAGAAGAATGTAAGTGGTCTTTTCAGCCACTGGAGAGCTGTTGCAAGTGGCAGATTCACTTGCAGGATCACTTGTCTGAGATCAGCCTAGGGAAGCTAAATAAAGCCAGGCAACTAGCATTTTTTGAAGGGGGTTAGAGCAGTGGTAGCCTCCTTATTTCTTTGACCATGTTTGTACTTTAACCCCAGTCTGAAAACTTTGCTACAAACTAAAACAGGAAAAAAGTTTTGGCTGAACCTGTTTCTAGAGACCCACTTCTCTGCATGAATGCATGGAATGGTTTGTCTGGTCTTGGCTTCAGCCCGACAATTAACTTTCCTCAAGTTCTTTCCATGTTCTTTTACTATCTCTCTAGTTACACTACAGAGTTTGTAGATTTGGGGAATGTGTCTGCTCTCAGGACATTCCGCGTCCTCCGTGCACTTAAAACAATCACTGTAATTCCAGGTTTGTACTCATTTACTCCTCTCATGGCATGTTTCCTTTGTGGATTGTATTCGTATCAACAATAGCTGTAAGTGTATAGATCAGTGCTCTTAGTGTTCACAAACTAAATAAGTGCTAACCTAACTGTGTAAAAGAGTCCAAACCATTAAACATTTATCACAAATAACACACTAGAATTGTAACAATCTTAATCTACTGTATCCATATATGCAAGTACAAAATAAACTGGATGCTATAGAAAAGAGTTCTCTCTGAAACAATTCATCATTTTCCAAAATCGTGTCCTTGCAAATAAATGCCCAGTGCAAAATGTGCTTAAAGGAGAAGTATGGCTAAAGTTCATTTGGTCATACTTCTCCTATGGGTCACAGGAGTGCACTTAGTTCTGCACTCCTGTGACCCAGATTCAGCTGAAATTATGCTGTCGGCTGACATCAAAGAGCTGGTCCAGGCTCTGCAGGGATCCCAACAATAATGCAATAATGTCAGTATCGGCCCAGATGCCTAACTGGCAGCTGGCTCAGCCTTTCAGCGCACCTCTGAGTGCCTGAGCCAAGCGCTCCGCCACCCTCCACAGTCTGGTCCTCCAGTGAGCACTGGAGGGGCAGAGCACAGAGCGGTGATGGACAGTCAAAGGGTGAACCTGAGAACCGAGCGATCAGTGCTCTTTAATTGCTCAGTTTTCAGTGAGAAGTCAGCAGGGAAAAGCTGCAGCCAGCTAGGTGAATATGTAGGTTTGTTATTTTCATTTCCTGCACTTCTCTTTTAAGCAGTTCAAATTACTCTTCTCTGTCATGTACCAATGTCATGAATTGTTTACCACATTGCACACCCTAAGTCAGGGGTTGGCAATCTTGGTACTCCAACTGTGATGAAAATACAAACCCCATTGTGCTCCTGCATCCTGGAGTCATGCCTGTGGCTGTTAGTCTTGCAATGCCTTACGAGACGTGTAGTTCCACAACAGCTGGGGTGCCGAGGTTGCCTGCCCCTGTCCTAATAAGTGTTCACCAGATCATACTTATATCTCTAATTTGATCAAAACTCCTGTTTAACTGGATCCTCTTCATATGCCAGATCGTGTTTAGTGGACTCCACCAATATGGTGGAAATTGCAGTAATTCCAAAAAGAAGATACCGTTTTAAATGAATGTAAGGTTTCTTCCATTGGATGTTTTAAATAATGTTGGGTGACTAAAGAGTTAATTGTAAAAGGAAAGTGGATGCTTTTTAGTATATAAGGTTGCTCAGATGACAGCACAAACACACTCCTGAGAAAGTAATAAAATATTGAACAATGTTACGTGGCAGCGATCTGAGATGGCCTTATACCCAACAAGAAATATTGGTCAATCTGCTCCAGATGCATGGTAGTGCTGTTCAATAAATAATTTCTTAAATTGATTGTAAAGGTATTTTTTTTATTTAAAATAATATACTTACCTGCTCTGTGCAATGGTATTGCACAGAGTTGCCCCGAGCCTCCTCTTCTGTGGTACCCCACCGGTGCTGTCTGTAATGGTCGTGCAAAATGGGCACATACAAATCTGTAGGTGGCAGCTATTTTGTTCAAGTCTCAAGTCACCCATTCCATTTTGTAATAAGCTGCAGTGACCTTCCCCATCCCTCCTCCTTTCAGTTCATCCAATACACAAACGTTTAGCCATGTCAGAACCTTCTTATCAGATCCTTGAGAGGACAGATGTAGACCCTCTCATGCTATTAACCAATCCACACTTCAGTCTAGAAACCCTAGTAAAACCGTCTGACTTGCCCACTTGAGTAACTAGAGTTTTAAAGGATAAGTTCACCTTTTGCTAAAAAATAATAAATGCATATTTTTTGCAGGTAAAAAAATGTGCATGTATTATTTTTTCTTGCAGGAGCCTGTAAACCATTTCATCAGCAGATTGCTGGTGCCTTGCATGTCCCCTGCAGACCTGTCAGCATATCTGCTTGTCCGTACAGGATGTACGGACAAGCAGATATTCTGACAGGAAGAATCAGTGAACTACCATAGTGCTCCACAGCGCCGTGGTAGTTAATTGAGAACTACAAGCCGATAGCCGCTAAGGCTGTTGGGACTTGTAGTTTCTCATTCACAGAGGACTATGAATGAGTGACGCAGCTGGGCAGGTGGAGCCCCACATGGCCGCAGATTTTTAAGTTTTTGACAGCTAGAGGAAGTAGAAGATCCCCTGCCAGCTGTCAAAGTGGAGGAGTGGAGGCCGGTCTATTCATAACATGTTACTTATTACACCCTGAATATGGATGTATTTCATAACTTCTGAGATAACCACAGTACAGCCAGAATAAGGACATATTTACCTCCCTCAATTAAATTGTAGTGTTTTGAGTCCAAACATCGTTACCCTAGGAGTACCAGGAGTAGAACCATCCAAATTCCTCTCCTAGGTGAACTGGCATCCAAGACCTGTTTTATTCATTTAAAGATGAATTCAATGCTGGACAGTAATATGCAAATTAGCAGACTATAACTTGTAGGTATTCAAAGATATTAATACAAAACTAGGATACAGTCATAAACACAGTGACATTGCATGGCCACTCAGCTGCTTAATTGGTTAGATAGCCTCCGTCAATACCCCCTGGATGTCAAAGAAAAGTGGACTGCAACCACATTTGACAGCTTTTGTGTAACATCAAACTAAAGAACACCTGTCAATTTGTAGGAGTGCTAACATACCATCTTGCTTGATTGATTGGACTCTGCTGAACCAGGACAATAAGTAATCTCACCCTCAATTCCTTTTTATTTCTCTGTTGCATTGTTGTCTTTTTATTTCTTAGCAATATCTTTTTTTCGTAAATATTTATTTTTCACCATTTTGACCTTTTCATTATTTAACCCTGTTTTGAAAAGTGTTAAAACTGTCTCTAATGTGCTCATGCAAACTCAAAGAATCCCTGTCTCCTGAAGAGTGCTAGCTAGTGTAAATCTCTGAATATACCTGTCAGTGGTGACAATGTGTGTTACAGACGTGTATTCTAAAATCATAGTTACTATTCCTATTTCTCTGTAAAAAAAAAAAAAAAAAGTAGGCGGTGGCATTTTCAAGGATTAATTGCTCAGTTAACTAAACCAGTGACAATTGCTCTCAGCCTGTTGGCACTTAGATTGTGGTCCCGCAGGTTGGAAAATCTTTGTGTGGAGTGAGGCTGAGAGTGTCATTATTGCGAATCAGTGTCAGCACGGTGTGAGGTTGACCAGTCCTTGGTGAAAAGGGCAGTGGTCTGACCCACATTTATCACACTGTCCAATTCCTTTCTTCCCTGAGTGCACCCATAGCAATCCACTTGCTATGGAGGCACTCATGCAGGTGCACTCCTGAGCAGGGCTGACATGTTATTTGATTAAGCCCGATGGGGGGGCAGTGAAATTCAGTTAGTGGGGTGTGGCATATGGGAGCAGATTGACTTGGAGACGATCCTTGGATGAGCGTTACCTGGTTGACACACACACAATGTATGGCCCTGTTTTTTCTATTAGGTAACTTTATTTCCATGGATATTGCTTTGGAAGATAATGAATTTTTACCAAGGGTATACATTATTACGACTTTTACAATTTCGATGTATTATTTGTGATAATTGTTGTTTGATGGTTTAGACACGTTTTACACATTGTTATACCCTTTTAAGTAAAGCATGGAGGTAAATACAAATAAATATATAATCATATATTAATAAATATGTACCAACAATTACTGCTGGACTACCTCTGTGGCCAGTTGTTTTTTCCTTTTAAATTTATATGAAGGTCTCATTACACACTGGGCATTTTAAAAACACTGGTAGTGTTAGCTGTCGCGTTAAAGATATTTTTAAAAAAGCTTTTTTTAGCATTTTTGCATTGCCGTTTAACTACATTTTGCCCCGTTTAGCCACGTTTTTTCATGTTGTCGGTTTTTAGCACAAAAAAAAATATAAAAAACTTTGGCTCAATAACGCTGGTTTGCCGTGTTTTTACCATGTATACCACCGTTAGAGTGTTTTTACAGTTAAAAAACTCTTCTTGAAACCTATTAGTTCTGGGGTTTTTTACAGCCAGAAAATGCCCCTGCCAAAAAATGCTGATTAAAGCCTATGGGGTTGACTTACTAAAGGCAAATAGGCTGTGCACTGCAAGTGCACTAAAATTGCAGTTGCTTTAGATCTGAAGGGAACATGCAAGGAAAATAAAAAAACTGAATTTTTGCTTGCACATGATTGGATGAAAGAAAACAGCAGAGCTCCCCCTCGGATATAAAGCAACTGCACTTGCAGTGCACAGTATATTTACCTTTAGTAAATCAACCCCTATGTGTGCATGGACACATAGGATAACATGCTGGGGAGTATACTGGCTGTAGAGAAAAATGCCAGGAGCCAAAAACAGCCGCTGTAAAAACACCCAGTGTGCATGAGGACTTAAAGTTTACTCTGAATGGGCTTCGATAAAGAGAAACTTATTTCAATTTCTCTTCCACAAGTACCAGCTTTTCAGTTCATAGTTGGAGGCCTAACCAAAATGTCCAGAAGATTGGTGGATAAAACATGAACAAATATGTTCATGCTTTTGAGAATAATGGGTACGGAACAGGGGCGGACTGACAACTCATGGGGCCCCCGGGCAATAGGGGATCATGGGGCTCCTGTGTCCTTGCCCAAACTCAAAAAAGCCTATGAAAAAGAACCAGGGGCATCTCATGGGGCCCCCTACTGACCCCGGGCCCTTGGGCAGTGCCCGAGTTTCCAAATGGTCAGTCCGCCCCTGGTACAGAGCAGAAAAAAGAAGCCCCAAATATTAGAGATAAGTGCTTCATACAAAATTGTTTCTCTATTGCTGATCGAGGGACACTCGAGGGAGGAATGGATGCAAGGACATAGAACACTGAAGGCCAGCCTCCTGGAACCTATAATCTGCCTCTGTAGTTACTAGTTTTGGTGGTGACTAATTAATGTCTTTGGTTTCTCTTTTGTTTTGTTTTTTTTTTCTGTTGGGTTGGTTCACCAGTGCTTAGATGTGCCTGTCCTTCTGGACTGCTTTTGGATAACCCTAGGTTCCTTACTATCAAGACTTGTCCCTCTATAGACAATAGAAAAATAGGATTTTTGTTCTTACCATAAAGTCCTTTTCTCAGAGTCCAATAAGGTTCCTCCTTCGCTCATGCTATCATTCTTTCTTTGGATTGCTTGCTACAACTAAGCAGGCGTGAGGAGGAGGGGTTATGATCTCTATGAGGCTGGCCTTCAGTTTTCTATGTGCATAGCATCCATTTCTACTGTAGGTGGCAGTATAAACCTAGTTTGCTTACTATCAAGCTTTGTCCCTCAATGTACTCTGAGAAAAGGTATCAACTCTTATTTCTAGTCACCATGGCTGAATAGTTGATGAGGTTTGCCAGATCCTATTATAATTATTTGTTATTGTTCTTCACATCCTAATATTTCTATCATTGATTACCTGATTTTATGTAGAAACATAGTCTTGTCCTTAAATGTCATTAATAAAGGACTTTGATATAGCAGGAAAGCTTTTGTCATTAAATTGTTAACAAAGAGCAGTCGGTCTCAGTTTCACAGATTCACACCTCCTGCGCGGGTGTCTCCAGTATCATTTACAGTGTGTTGATGTTTGTTTCCTTACTTCCCTGACCCCCAGTAACCCTACTCTTCTTGTTCATAACCCTTAATTAGATCATGTCCTTGTCCATTTTAGTTAGCAAAATGTCAAGAATTTCAAAGCCTTACATTGTAGCCATAGAGCACATACGCTTTGTCAGTGGGAATAGCTAAACAGGAAATCTGGGCTTAGTTTTTTTTCACCTATGGCTTTGCATCAGGGAGCCTTTCCAAATGTTTTGGCAATAGAGATGACCCATGGGAGCTAGCAACAATTAGGTCTGCCATCTAGTGTAAAGTCATGAAGACTAGAATATTCTGGAGCTGCATACAAGAAAATCTATGTGGCGCGTCCTTTTCTACTACGTGCATGTATAAAGCTAAACTTCAGGCAAACATCTAAATATTCAGATAATATATAAGTGGGGGGGGGGGGGGGGCGGTTACCTGTTAAAACATTTCTGTCCATTCATTCCTGAGATTGAAGCATGTGTATCACACAGCAAAAAACAGCAATAGTACCCTGATTTCTCTGTTACAGCTCAGGAATGCTAATCCGCTCCAACCCAACCTGTTATTTGGGCAGTCAGGGAGCAGCGACTAACTGATAAATTAATTTCGCTGCTCAATCTGCACAACTCCAGTCAGTATGTTCCCTTTCAGCACATTTGATTCTATTATGTATTTTATGTTTGCCTGGAGTTTGACTTTTAAGAGGCTGTGAGCTTTGGAAGCAGTGCTCAAAAAGGTAGACCAAGGACTAAGAAATAGTGCCAGTATTGGCAAAATATGTGATGGCTTTATCTTGGATGTATGCTACACCAGCCCTGCCTAGACGGTTTATTGTAAGCAGTGAATGTTTGAATTATCAAACATCATAACTTTGTTTAGCAGTTGATTTGTATTGTATTAGGGTCCTTTTGTTAAAGGTGATAGACAGTAGAGGGAAGGGATTTTTTTTAGGCAGCAGTAGACAAAGGTTCAAATAAGTTACCCTGTAAGGTCAAAACTCTGTGGACACCTAACCATTACACTTATACATACTTGTTGGACATGTCAATACCCAAAATGATGGATATTACTATGGAGCTAACACCATTCTTCTGGGAAGGTAGAAGAGTGTGTCTGAGAGAATTTGTGCCTAATCAGTCAAAAGACAATTTGTGAGGTCAGCAATCAATGCTGGACATAAAGACTTGGCTCGGTGTTGGAATTCCAGCTTATAGCAAAGGTGTGCTCACTAGGGTTGAGACCAGGGCTCCGTGCAGGCCACCCAGGTTGCTCCACACCAAACTTTCTTTATAGAACTGAGTTTGTGCATGGGCCTCAGTCATGCTAGAATAGAAATGGGGCTTCCTCAAACTGAAGCTCACAATTGTCTAAAAAGTCTTTGTATGCTGTAGAGTTAACTTCACTGGAAAAACATGAGCTCAATAATTTGGAGAGACATCTACATACTTATCACCATATAGTGCAGATGTGATGGCCAAGTGCCTACAAACTGTTGGCCATAAAGTGTATGTACCAAATGTGTTTTGTTAGGTGCATTGGCTACTAGTCCTTGGGATTTGTCTAGACCCATGGTGCCCAGCTTGTGACCCAGGGGCCACATGCAGCCCTTTGGCACTTTCTGTGTGACCCTTGAGACACTAATTTCTGTTTCCCTATAGCCCTGTTATAGTAGTGATTTCTAGCAATCTCATGTAATATGTCTCCAGTTTCTGACTGTCTCCAGAAACTCTTTTAGCATGTTCATAGAGTCTTAACAGTCTCCTGCAGCATGTCTGCACTCTCTGACCATCTCTTTTATCATGTTTTCAATCTTTGACCATCTCTTGTATTATGTCTGCAGTCTCTGACCATCTTTTGTAGATTTAGAGCTTGTAGTGTTAGAATTATCCTTTCTCATACTTTATAATTCTATAGCCTTTTGATGTCCAAGATTTTGCATAACAGGATTTGTTGTACAGTGATGAGATGCACTGATGTCATGACAATAACAAGTGTTTTACTCTTCCTGTTCTAGGCTTGAAGACCATTGTTGGCGCCCTTATTCAGTCAGTGAAAAAGTTGGCAGATGTCATGATTTTGACTGTCTTCTGTCTAGCCGTCTTTGCTTTGATTGGCCTTCAATTGTTTATGGGAAATCTGAGGCAAAAGTGTGTGCGTTGGCCACCAACGGAGGAGGCTTACGATTATTACAGAAATATAACAATAAGTTCTATGGAATTTGACAGCAACTCCACCTTGTATGACGACCCTGACATGTACGCCAATATCTCCGTAGACTGGGGTCCCTACCTCAATGATGAGTGTAAGGTTACAGCCAGATATTGTGGCTTACTGTATATCACTACTTTTTCATGGAAAATGCTGTTTGCATTGCTGGTCAATATGATGTGATAACTTATCATATTTTTCTCTTTCTTTTGCAAATAGCAAATTTTTACTTCTTAGATGGAGCACTTGATGCTCTTCTGTGTGGAAACAGCAGTGACAGTGGGTGAGTGATGTGTTTTTAACCTGTGATTGTAACTGCAAGCCTGGATAACTATGAGAAAAGAGAATTAAAAGCCAAGTTCACCTTTATTTATGTTCCTAATCATCTGCTTCTTATCCCTAGAGCTTCCCGAAGAGAGTGTGTGGGTTCAGCTACCCAATTTGCACAGCCACATTATTTATTCACAGAGATCTGTGGATGAATAAACTACAAAGCCTGTCAGCCACCACAGTAGATGCACTTATAGTTTCATTGGTCCACGAGTGTGGTAATCGGCACACTTATAGTCCACTGACACAACTTCCAACTTTCTTATGGAAAGCCGTACATAGGTATGGGCAGAAAGGTGGAGTAAGAGTCTATAGGAGCCTGACATTGCACCTGAAATCCACTGATCATGGGTGCAATGCTTTGCAGTCCTCTGTAAAAAAAAAAAAAAATAATAATAATAATCATAATAAATGCACATTTTTTTTTCCAACAAAAACTTGCTCATTTATTATTTTGTCCAGGTGAACATAGCCTTTACGTGTATCTATAGCCAACTTTTGGATAATTACAAACCTTGCCAGTTTTGTTTCCATTGGGGAGATTTATATTTGCTTTTTTTCCTGTCAATAGAAGGAACCCCCTCTCAAACTGTGGTCACCTGAAAACTTGTCCACATTGGAGGATTTCCCCCCTATTCCTCTGTCGATGACAACTTAAAACTTTAGATTTTCCTTCACTGTTGACAATGATCATCATAAGAAACAGAGTGAATTTCCCTAATGAGGGCAAAGACAGCAAAAATCTTGGCCGGGATTTTAATCCAGTTGCAATGGAAAACAGAATAATTTTTATATACAATAGCATTATAAATGAGCCATGTTAGACTTTATAAACGTTTACAAAGGAAGAGTTTACAAAAGAAGAATTACTAGTCCATTTTTACAGCCCCATAGCAACCATTCAGCTTTAAAATTAATTGGCCAAGAAATAACTACAAATTGAATGACAGATACTTACCATCATTTTCCTTTCCTGACGAGCTCTGTGTCAGCACAGCTGGGTAAGGGCCCCACCCCCCATGCTTCCAGGACCCCATCTGCAACCTTGGCATTCTGTAACTAGTCCTACCATGTTGTGTGGGAATTGTGCTGACATGGAGCTTGTCAGGAAAGGAAGATTACGCTAAGTAATTTTCCGTTTTCCTGACAGCTACATGTCAGCACAGCTGGAAACTAACTAGCCACACAGGGGAGGGATAATGCTACGCACGCCTCAATTCTGGCTAAAAGCAGAAGCCAGGATGCCTCTGCCAAACTCAACTGTCATTAACACTGCTTCTATACAGTAATGAGCCATGAACGTATATATTGACCCCCACATAGCTGCCTTGCAGATAGTGTCTGGGAACACTCTGCCTGCTGCCAATCACAAGGTCGAGACCTTTCAGGAGGACAGTGATGTGATCCCCCTGGCACAGCCAACCCTTCCAACTTGTAGGCCAAGGAGATGAGCTTCACCAACCAAGAGTCAATAATCTTGTTGGAAGCCATGAAATTATTACACGCTCCACCTGGAATGACAAACAAGTGCTCCGACTTCCTGATGCCAAATGTCGCCTTGATGTAACAATTTAAAGCTTGGCCCACATCTGTTGGGTTAACTTCTTGGGTACACCCAGGAAGTCCACTTGTTTGTGTGATATGGACTCTGAAGGCCTCTGAGGCACGACCTTGAGCATCAGCATGAGTACCACCCTATTCGGGATGAGCGTACGAAAGGGTTCTTTAAACCCCAGAGCCGCTAATACAGACACTCTTCTGGTTGATGCAATTGACACCAGGAAAGCAGTTTTCAGCAAGAGGTACCACAGGGGGCCACTTTGATTGAAGGCATCTGATGCAAACAAGTCTAATGCCAATGGGAGATCCCACTTCACAAACAACAATCCTCTAGGTAGGTTCCAACGAAGTTGCAGCTTGAAGAACAATATCATTTAGTGTTGGATGCCCACTGTATGCCGGTGAAGGCAGAGATAGCTGAAATGTGGGCCCATAGTGTACTTACACATAAACCTAATTCAAGCCCCGCATGCAGAAACATCAGAATGTGACAGACTTATGAAGAGCTCAGTGTAAAACCTTGGTCAGCAGCAATCCTGTGAATTTATGTTATATTGTACTAGAGGCACTGTTAGTGCTGTTCTCCTTGCCTTCATAGGAGTATTCACAACCTTTACAGAGCACCCAAGATCTATTAGCATCTGCCCCTCAAGACCCAAACCATGATCTTGAGCCTGTTAGGTGTTGGATGAATGGGACCAGGGGTGGACTGACAACTCATGGGGCACCCGAGCAATAGGGGATCATGGGGTCCTTGTGTCCTGTTCCACACTCAAACCACACTCAAAAACCTATGAAAGGTACCAGGGGCATCTTATGGGGCCCCCTACTGACCCCAGGCCCTAGGGCAGTGCCCGAGTTCCCAAATGGTCAGTCCGCCCCTGAATGGGACTTTGGAGAAGATCCGATCTTACCAGCAGAGGGAGTGGATCCTTGACACTCATTAGGATGGGAAGAGGGTACCAAGTCAACTTCGACCAATCTGGGATCAGTAACTTGGTGTTGACTGGGGATGTGAACAGGTCTACCTCTGGAAGAGATTACCAAGCATGTTAGTTCTCAGAAGACTTGTGGCAGTCTGGATCATTCATTGTTGTCTGGGATTGTCCTGGACAAATTGTTTGCCTGAAGATTCTTCCGACCGGGCACATTGGCTGTACATAGCTGCAGGATATTGACTTGGGCCAACTCTAGAATCAGAGAAACCTCTTTCAGCAGGGAGCCACTGAGTGCTCCCCCTTGTTTATGGATGTCTAACTTCACCAGGACAGGTCCACCCTGGATGAGGTGACTGAAGGCTAGGAGAGCCTAAAATTCTGTACTCAACTCCAGGATGTTAGACACGTTCTTGGACCCTTGAAAAAGGTCATTGGTTCTGAGCCCATTGCTCTGGAATTAGGGCTCTCCAGCTACTTTGCTGGTGTCTTACTGCACCACCAGCCACTAGGTCATCAGATAGGAAAGATTCTGCTTCTCCAACCACAAGTTTAGGCTTGCTTTTATACAGTGCTTAATCCATATATTCTGACCTATGTCCTCTGACAGCTATCAGTGTAGAAACCCGGCTTGAAAGGGGGGTGAGAGTTTAAATGAGCTTACCTGACCTGCTGGAGTGAAATGATTTATGCAGCCCAATTGTGCCTAGAGGAGACTCTGCTGGCACCGCTGCCCACTTCACATGGACCCAGCAGACCCCAGACAAGGCTGTTAGCTGTGATAAAAGCCGCCCCAAGGACCAGCAGCGGGGCTCCCTGGATTATGGGTCATTTAGCCTGTACACCAGGGACCGCGTTCAGCTGAAACCCACATGTATGGATGGACAGCCAGCCCTTTAGACCAGCCAGGTAAAGGAGCACACCTAGGTCCTGCACATGGGAGGAAAAAAGAGGAATGCCAGGCTGCAGGTGGGTTCAAATTTATGACTTAGGTCCTGGAAGCATGGGGGGATGGGCCCTTACCCAGCTGTGCTGACATGGAGCTATCAGGAAACAGGATTTGCTACTGTTGATGTGTTTTTTTAAGGAGAAGACTCAAGGCTATTCATTCTTATCTCTTCTTCTATACTTGATAAGCCTGCAATGGTTCATTATTCCACCATGCTTGTCATGCTCATTTCTATGACTATGGCATTGGTCTTGCACTTGCTATAGTAAAATAAATGTATCTATGACTTTTAATTACCAGAAGGTATTCAGGGGCAGAAGCCTAGCATAGAGAACTCGAAGTGGACAGCAGGAAGCTACAAAATGTACAAATTGTAGTTGGTTTTTTTTTTCTTTATACTTATTCCTTTGGAAAAGACCTGTTAGAGAGGGCAGAGGCTGGCAAATGGAGAGCTAGCTAAAATAATTTACTCTGGTGCCTTTTATCAACAGGAAATGCCCAGAAAGCTTTGTATGTATGAAAACCGGAAGGAATCCCAATTATGGTTATACCAGCTATGACTCCTTCAACTGGGCTTTCTTGGCGCTGTTCAGGTTGATGACCCAAGACTACTGGGAGAACCTCTTCCAGCTGGTAGGCTTTTTCATTCCTCTGCAAGCTACACATGAGTAGATTATCACTTTCTGTTTGGAAGTAAATTTACGTATTTACAAAAAAAGATTTTCACACTTTGAAGGTAATGGAATACGTGAAATAAGTTGTAACACAAAACATAAATTAGAAAAAGCATGTGGCAGACAAATTTCACAGCATGAAATGGAGTTACTAGCATTATAGAATGTCTAAAGTAGTCCAATCTATACAAAACTTGAAAGTCTGCCAAACACACGTTATGCACCCGTTTATGAGAATGCTAATTGAATTCTATCCATAGACCAGTATGTTAAAGTCTCAGTGGATGATCAGTAAAAAAGTCAAAATCAGGGCTGTGTGCCAGGATGAAGATTAGATTTGCTCAGCAGGTAGGCTATGTCCTCTGAGAAAGTGTAATTGGCAGCTGCTGAGAAGGTGATGATTGTTTGAATGCCATCACATGGCCAAGCTTTTAGGTTTGGCTTAAGCTAGGGTTGGGGAAAATTATTTTAGGGCATATGAAAAGTGATTTAGTATATTTAGACTGTTAAAACACATTTATGGTAGATATGAGAAAGAGGGGAGAAATTTGATTGTAAAAGCATTAAACAGGTCTGGGTATTAGGCTGCAACTTTGCAGACTGTTACTTGACTCTTTCAGCCATAACTACTGTCCAGTACCATGAACTGCAGTTATCCAACTCTCAGAATGATACTAGGTTTGAGGAAGGGCACACCTGTACAACATCAAGTGAAACAAGCTGTAGTAGAGAACAAAAAAACAGCGCACCAACCTTGTGCATTACCTCAGTAAACAATTAGTAGATTTATTGATTTAAGAGATATACTCACAAAAATAGCAATATAAAAGGCATAAAGGATCCAAAATCGAATAAGTGGATTAGGAGACATGTGCGAATCCCATCGAAAGGGGAGACTCTCAGGGTGAACTGATGCGTTTCGAAGGGGGGGGGGGTCAGAGCTCTGATGAAGAAGGGACCCCCTTCTAAACGCGTCAGATTCACCCTGAGAGCAGGGGCGGACTGACCATTTGGAAACTCAGGCACTGCCCGAGGGCCCAGGGTCAGTAGGGGGCCCCATGAGATGCCCCTGGTACCTTTTTTCATAGGCTTTTTTGAGTTTGGGCAAGGACACAGGGGCCCCATTATCCCCTATTTCCCGGGGGCCCCATGAGTTGTCAGTCCGCCCCTGCCTGAGAGTCTCCCCTTTCGATGGGATTTGTACGCGTCTCCTAATCCAATGATTCGATTTTGGATCCTATATGCCTTTTATATTGCTATTTTTGTGAGTATATCTCTTAAATCAATAAATCTACTAATTGCTTACTGAGGTAATGCGCAAGGTTGGTGCGATCTGTTTTTTTGTTCTCTACAACAGTTTGTATCAAGCTTCCCCAGCTTCGTATTGGAGCTACACAACCTTTGATCAGTCTTGAACGAACTTCCATGTATCCTAGTATATATTGGCCTATCAGCCCTCGACTGATCTGGGTCCCTGAGCGCAGGTGGTGTTGTATCAGTGTCTACTCAAGTGAAACAATGTCAAGGCTATGAATATCCAAGTACTGGTAGGTACAGGGTGGTTTGTTCATTCCAGCTGTATAGTATTTTGCAAGCTGAGCAAAATAAAAATCTTATCAGTGTATGACCAGCCTATGAGAACAATTTGAAGAACTTTAGTGCTCCTGTTGTGAGCTTTCAAAATGTTCCACGGTGCCTGCAGCTACAGAGGTCAGTTATTATTTTAAAGCTCATGTACTGCGTGTTAACAATATGCTAACATTTCAATGTCCATAGCTTGACCACAGGTTCACTTTAAGGCTGTTACTTGCCTGCTGTGAAACTAGAACTTGCTCTAGGAGTCAGAAGATGGCAGCTTACAGCAACCACACGTAAACAACAATAGAGAGGTTTCCTTTATAAACAAAGTATTGTGATGTTACTTTGCAAACACTTTCCTGAAGGGGAACAAAGTTTAAATATGTAATTGTAATGGGTGAAATGTTTCTGACATATGTCTTTCTACTTTCCTTTTCCAGACTCTTAGAGCAGCTGGAAAGACTTACATGGTTTTCTTTGTGGTCGTCATTTTCCTGGGGTCATTCTACCTGATAAACCTTATCCTGGCTGTAGTAGCCATGGCTTACGCTGAGCAGAATGAAGCCACCATTCAAGAAGCCTTAGAAAAGGAAAAGGAATTCCACGATATGCTGGAACAGCTGAAGAAACATCAGGAAGAGCAGGGTCGGAGGGTCAGTATCTGGAACAGCTACTAGGTACCACTATGACATAAAGGCAAAGTTTAAGGTTCTGAGAGTTAGCACTTGGTCACGACAAGCTTGTCCATTTATATTAGTCTAGTTTTATGTGGACCTAAATAACTTTTTTTTTACATTTATTTAGAATTTTTTATTTAATTACTGTATAAAATAAAAATATAAAGCAGAGCAATGCACACCCCATACAGAGGAGAATTGGGAGTTTTTGGCCCGAGGAGACAGACATCCCAGCTAATCCTTTCATAATTGGTGACAGTTTCTTATGGGCTGAAGAAAATGCAGATCTCAGAGGGTTGATTTACTAAAACTGGAGAGTACAAAATCTGGTACAGCTGTTCATGGTAGCCAATCAGCTTCCAACTTCAGCTTGTTCAATTAGGGTTTAACAAAATAAAACTTGAAGCTTTGTATTCTCCAGTTTTAGTAAAGGAACCCCAATGTGTGCCATGGTTTTGCAATAATTGGAGGGCATGGCAAAGTATTGTATAGAGAGTATTATTTGACACACCCTTTTGCATAAGTATACCATAAATGCTATGAAAGGGGTGGTAAATTTTGAAGTACTTTTATGAGATGAACAGGATGTTTGCCAAATGTCGAGAGACACAAAATAAGATGCTGGACAACTTTTCCATGCTAGTGACTACAGAATTGAGCAGGCAACAGGTACTGTACTTTTTTTTCATTATGTTTCTGATGTCTCAACGAGAAAGTTGCACTGGTCCAGGAGGGCAAATACTCCCTGCTCACAGCCTTACCACACGCATAGCATCAGTTCTCTTCTTGAGCATACTGTATGTGATTGATTAAAAACAGTTAATGTTACTATACCCACAACAGTAAAATCAGTCTGTATATGCAGTAAAACATGCTTGTTATACTCACTGTGGAACCTAAGGGGTTAATCATTCACATTGTGTAAAAAGGCTGTTTGATCCTGTAGTCTCTGATCCCCCCCTTCTTCCACAGTCTCCAATCCATCTGCTGATAGTACAGAACCCTAGGGGATACTCTGCACATGCTCAATTTGGTGTGTATTGCTATAGAGTTTTTTTTTTTTTTCTTTGAGAGGGTGCATGTCCACACAGGGCCAATCAGCACTGACCGGACAGAGGGTCAGGGGTCATGCAGCCTCATAGGACAGTCATAGCAGAATGAAAACGCCTCCTAAAAGATTAACCAGTGCTCGGCCACAGACTGATAGAAGTCACAAGACTGCTATATACTGCTGATGATAAAGGTGTTTAGCAGTTTCTATTTACTAAAATAATTGCATTTCCATGTTCTGTGTACTGTGGGAGACCAGATATAGTGAATGCAGGGTCCGGGGAGACCAGATACAGTGAATGCAGGGTCCGGGGAGACCAGATATAGTGAATGCGGGGTCCGGGGAGACCGGATATAGTGAATGCAAAGTCCCGGGGAGACCAGATATAGTGAATGCAGGGTCCTGGGTTTAGTATAACTTTAGGTATTAGTTAAAATTGACCTTATTTAAAGCAATACCAAAGGTTCATTTTTTTTTTTTTGTAAAATAACAAACATGTTATGCTTGCCTGCTGTGTGCAGTGGTTTTGCACAGAGCAGCCTGGATCCTCCTCTTCTTGGGTCCCCCGCAGGCTCTCTTGGCTTCTCCTTTCTATTGGGTGCCCCCACAGCAAGCAGCTTGCTATGGCTGCACCCACTGCTCTGTGTGTCCTTACACACACAGAACTGTGGCTTGGCTCCTCCCCCTCTCTCTCCTCATTGGCTGACTGACTTGACATCAGAGGGAGCCAGTGGCTCCTGCTTGCTTTCTCAGCCAATGAGGTGGCAGAGACCCGGGACAGCCAAGGCTGTTGTGCACACTGATGGATCGCGATGGGGCTCAGGTACGTATTCTGGGGGCTGGGGGCACTGCTGCATGAAGGTAAAAAACCTTGAGCCTTTACAACCACAATAAAAGATATTCTATTGGTATAATTTACATTGCCTGGTCAGCTTCTGTAGCATGAATTAGATGTGTGAAAAGTGACTTGTGTTGTGCTTTTTGGTGAAAAACACTGGGTTACATTATTATACAGGATTTATATAGCACCAACAGTTTGCGCAGCGCTTTACAATATAAGGGAGACAGTACAATTACAATACATTTCAGTACAGAAGGAAAAGGAGGGCCCTGCTCGTGGAGCTTACAATCTAAAGGAAGGGGGAGGTGATACAAAAGGTGATAGCTGCGGTGGATGATCTGGCGGAGGTGATTCAAGTACAGTTCTTAGGTGGAGGTGGGGTAGGCTTCCCTGAAGAAATTAGTTTTCAAAGATCGCCTAAAGGCACACAGGGTGGGGGCTGACCGGACATGCTGTGGTAGGGAGTTCCAGAGGATGGGGGGGCACTGGAGAAGTCCTGGAGGCGGGTGTGGGAGGAGGTGATGAGGGAGCTAGAGAGGAGGATATCATGGGAGGAGCGGAGTGGGTGAATTGGGCGGTATCTGTGGATGAGGTTGGTGATGTAGCTAGGGGCAGTGTTACATGCAGTGTTTTGTTGTGTTCATCTTGGGTTTTAAAGAATGCAAAAACTAAGACAGCCAGTTACAGTAGAAATTTATTTCATCTTTAACAAGGGCAGGAAAGAAGCTGCTGATAGCATCTCTAAAGTTTAGTGAGACATTAGAGATGAGAAAGTACAAAAACAGGGGCATATGGTTTCCTCCCACACTCCAAAGACATGCTGGTAGGTTAATTGGCTCCTGTCTAAATTGTCCCTAGTATGTGTATGTATGAATGTAAGTTAGGGACTTTATATTGTACGCCCCTTGAGGGTTAGGGACTGATGTGAATGTACAATATATATATAAAGCGTGGCATACATTGATGGCGCTATATAAGTACCTGAAATAAATAAATAATATGTTTATCTTGGTACCTGAAAATTAATGTAACTAATATCAGTTTTGAATGGAGTGTCTGTGTCCTTGCTGGGACGATTCACCCTTTTTTTTTTGTCTTGATAAGTATCGTCACTTATAAGACTTCATGTACATAAGCAGCTCCTAAACTCCACTCCATAAGAGCCTATGTGTCCATGTACACATAGGCTTTTAGCCGAGTTTAGGAGCTGCCACATTTAGGTGAGGTTAAACCTCAGGATAGGACCGTTTTGACCGCCGACCATGGGAAAATGCAAAACGCAGCAAAAATGCGGTACTGTGGTTGCCGCTTTTTGCAGCGATATGCGGTTTCCCGCTGCCGGCAATTAGGGTAGGCTTGTGTAAATGGAGCCTTTCAAAATAACAAACAAGTGTGTCAATGTTCCACTTTTGGGTTCACAACTATCTAGCAGAGGATTTCCCTCACTTTAAACAGATTTCCTCTCATTTCCTGTTGTGTCTATAGGGCAGGAGGTAAAGGGAAATCTCCCCAGTAGCACACAGGTGACAAACTTAAAAATGGAAAATTGAATGACAGATATTTACTGTAATTTTCCTTTCCTGACGAGCTCCACGTCAGCACAGCTGAGTAAGGTCCCCATCCCCCCATGCTTCCAAGAACTAACTAATAAATTTGAGCCCATCTGCAGCCTCAGCATTCTGTAACTAGTCCTACTAAGTTGAGTGGGAATTGTACTGACATGGAGCTCATCAGGAAAGGAAAATTACGGTAATTATCTGTCATTCAATTTTCTGTTTTCCTGACAGCGTCACATCAGCACAGCTGGGAACTAACTAGCCAAAAAAGAGGAGGGATAATGCTACGCACTCCTCAATTTTGGCTAACAAGCAGAAGCCAGGATGCCTCTGCCAAACTCAACTGTCATTCAAACTGCTTCTATACAATAATGAGCCATGAACATATATATTGACCCCCACGCAGCTGCCTTGCAGATAGTGCCTAGGAACACTCAACCTGCTGCCGCCCACAAAGTCGAGACCCTTCGAGTGGACAGTGAACTGATCCTCCTGGTACAGCCAACCCTTTCAACTTGTAGGCCAAGGAGATGAGCTTAACCAAGCAGGAGGCAATAATCTTGTTGGAAGCTGTAAAATTATTACAATAAGCTTGAGCCTGTCAGGTGTTGGACAAATGGGAGTTTGACGATCCGATCTTACCGGCAGAGGGAGTGGATCCTTGGCACTCATTAGGAGGAGCAGAGGGTACCAAAGCCCCTTCAACCAATCTGGGATCACCACCAAAACTATCTCCTTCCTTTGCCACAGCCTCAGCAGGGAGTTGAGAATCAGAGGGAGAGGCAGAAAGGCATAAGCTGTCCTGGAAATCCACTCTGCGATCAGCACCTCCACCTCGATTGCTTGTGGATGCTGGACCCTGGAATAGAAAGCAACTTGGTGTTGACTGGGGATGTGAACAGGTCTACCTCTGGAAGAGATTACCAAGCCTGTTAGTTCTCAAGACTTGCGGCAGTCTGGACCATTCATTGTTGTCCAGGATTGTCCTGGACAAATTGTTTGCCTAAAGATTCTTCCGACCAGGCACATAGGCAGCATATAGCTGCAGGATATTGGCCAACTCTAGAATCAGAGAAACCTCCTTCAAGAGGGAGTGCCCCCTTGTTTCCAGATGTAGGCCACAGTCGTTGTGCTGTCTAAATTCACCAGGACAGGTCCACCCTGGATGAGGTCACTGAAGGCTAGGAGAGCCTGAAATTCCATTCTTAACTCCTACTTTGCTGAGGTCTAACTGCACCACCAGCCACTAGGTCGTCAGATGGTAATGACATCGCAGAAGATTCTGCTTCTCCAACCACAAGTTTATGCTCGCCTTCATACAGGGCGTAATCTATATCTCTGACTTAGGCCCTCTAACTACTACCAGTCCAGAAACCCAACTTGATTTTTTTTTTGAGAAACTGGAGAGCATAAACAAATATAAAAGGATGTCCTATATTCCAACAGGGAATGCTGGCTACAGCAGTCATCCACAGGCAACTCTTCTACCTTCTCTGGGAATGCTAGTCTTTTGAGGGGGTTGGCATAA